GAATGATGAGGGCAACAAATGTGCATATGTGCTTGACACAATGGATGTATGTATGGATTGTTATGAGAATTGTATGAGCCCCCACTAAAATAATTAAAAAAAAACCTCTAGGGGAATCCTATTATAAGGATCTACATATAACCTCCTCTCCGGGGGACGGACAACAGAAAAGTGGATGAAGGGAGACGTTGGACAGTGTAAGACATGACAAAATAATAATAATTTATAAATTATCAAGGGTTCATGAGGGAGGGGGAGCGGGAATGGAGGGGGAAAATTAGCTGATACCAAGGGCTTAAGCAGAGAGCAAATATTTTGAGAATGATGAGGGCAACGAATGTAAAAACTGTGCTGGACACAATTGATGTATGTATGGATTGTAATAAGAGTTGTATGAGCCCCCAATAAAATGATTTTTTTAAAAGAATAGCTTCTTGAAGCACCATGACAAGGGAAAAAAGGCCAAAGAAAAGGTGTGTATTTGTAGGGGAGGACTTTCGGGGTTCACACTGTAGTTCTTCTCTCCCTCAGGTATGATCAAAGGACACACGTTTTCTCTGGAAGAATCCAGTCCCAAACCACAAAATAGTATGTCATTTGGCTAAACACACTGATGGACATTAATAATTCAACATAGAATACCAGATGCTACTGAGTAAAACTAGGGGGGGGAAGTTCATTTTCTTAATAGGGGCTTGCAAATCTATAAATGCACACTTCCCTTGCCTCTAAGAAAGGTGCTACTTAAGACTGACTGATCATTGGTCAAACCTCCAGCCTGGGTGTCTCAACCTTTTTGTACACATACTCTCAGTAGCAAGGGTGGGATGAGGCACTGAAGACTCTTATCTGAAGGGTTCACTTGAAATCTCATGTCCTGTGGGTACTGCAGTATATAACATAATACATTCCTGTATTTCTTCAAGCAAAATGTAGGAGGCTGAATGAGGTGTATCCTATATTCCCAACCTCCAGATAGAGAGTGATGGAATTACAAGTAGCATCTATACATTGACTGTACCTTTCCTTAAAGAGATGTTGGATTTGTCAACAGAAGGTGTTTAGAGTATTTTCTTGGCCAGGACTGTTAAATCCTTCGATCAGGTTTTTGTTACAGTCATCCAGGCTGAGATTCTCACTGGATCTCTTGGAGAATGCAGGGGGCCCAGTGAAATCTAAGAGATCTTGAAGTGCTCGGGCATGACCAGTTCCATTTTGGTCTAGGGATCCCCCAGGAATCATCTCACTCACTGGTGAAAATTCTGGGATGGAGATGAGCTCTTCTTTTGAAACAGGGCTAGAAGAGAAGAAAGAGAAAAAGAGGGAAAGGGTATAAGCGCTTAAGCATAATATTTTGAGCCACTGAGACTGGATGAACCCCTGGAACTATTGACCTGGGACAATCTTTGAACCCTAAATAAAAAGTATTTTCAGAAGTCTTCTTTAAACCAAATAATAGTTTAGCTTAATTAGTTAAAAAAAAAAAAAGGTCTACCTTGATGGTACAACCACTATGGAAAATGGTAAGGTAGTAGGATGCTTCCTAAAAAAATATAGAAATAGAAATGATTTATCGTCCAGCATATGATCCAGCAATCCCATTCTAGGTACATATCCTAGAGAAACAGAAACAGTGATATGAATAGAAATACCATACACCCATGTTCATTGCAGCATTGACAACCTAAATGTCTGTCAACAGAAGAATGGATAAATAAACGGTAGTACCTACATACAATGGAATGCTACATATAAAAAATAATTTTAAGTCTGTGAAACATAACATGGATGAATCTGGAAGGACATTATGCTGAATGAAATATGTCATTGTATGATATAACTTTTATGAAAAGTCAAGAAAAGGTTTATTTACAGAAAGCAATAACTGTGGTAGGTTTTTTTGGGTGCCAACATGGCTCCCATAGAAACAAGTGGACAGAGTTTAGCCCGTCAATCAGGCCACAGCTTGATCGGAGGGTAACTGAGATAAATGGCGCACCACTTTCTCTCTCTGCTTCACCTTCCTGTTGGTAAGCCACATGGCTGACACTTGCCAGAGCCTTGTGATACTTCCACCACCAATGGACCCACAAGACTCTGCACCCACCGGCCTGTGATCTGCTTGCATCCACCATCATTGCATGTACCTCCGAGAGTCTGAAGAGGGATTTATGGACTAGTGTTGGACTTAATAACTTGATTTTGACTGGGCTGGGATATTATCTTGATAACCAAATACTGCTTCATATAAAGTGCTTTCTTATACATGTATGAGTGTTATTGGATTTGTTCATCTTGTCAATGCAGCCTAACACAATTACCAAGAATGGGAGGGAGAGAGAGAGAGAATCATTTACTACACACAACACTATTACTTACTACACAATCACTTACTACAGGGGTTGGCATTTTTGAGATGGAAGAGCCAATCCTGTCCCTCATAATTTAAACATTATTTGAGCCATAAACATATTTTTATAAATAAGGAAACATTGTAAATATTATAAGTGAAATTATGATAGTTTTATTTCATTTCAATTTTCCTTCAGAGTCACATGTATGTGCTGAAAAAGCCGCAAATGGCTCATGAGCCGCAGTTTGCTGATCCCTGACTTACTGGATAGTAACCTACTGCCATCAAGTGGATTCCAACTCACAGCAACCCAAATAGGGGTTCCAAGGGTATGAATCCGTACAGGAATAGATAGCATCAACATTCTTCTGAGGAGAGGCTGGTACTATCAAGTAAGCAATTCAACCCACAGCTTACATAACAGCACCACCAGGACTCACTAGATAGGAGGCATGTGCTTATTCAGGATAAGGGAAAGACAATACACAATGGGGAGAAAATCAATACAATGTGACCAAGGTAAATGATGACACTGAGGGGTATGAAAGAATAAAGGACAGCTACAGAAAATGCTATAAAACTGTCAACAATTCTATAATAGTATAACAACTGAAAATCTGTGTGTGGTTACATAGGTATATATACGAGGGGGTACCCAAAACAAACAAACAAACTCTCTCTATATATATATATGTGTGTGTGTGTGTGTGTGTGTGTGTGTATGTTTTATGTGAGGGGGATAGTGCATTTGGAGTTCATTCCATCAGCTTAGAATGTTAATCATGCTTCTCTTTAGAGGTTCTGAAAAGATTGCATAACAGCGTGGGACAAAAAATACCTGATTTGTGGCAGATGGGAGACTGTTTTTTTCCACCACTACAATCCACCTGCTCACATAGCCAACTCAAGTGCACCAGTTTTTGGCAAAAAAAAGCATGCCTCTCTTGCCCCATGCACCTGACTCACCTGACCTTACTCCATGCAACTTCTTTTTGTTTCAATGAATGAAGAGGGGCATGAAAGGACAGTGATTTGACAATGTAGGAGGGGTGAAAAAAAATAAAGGAGGTGCGCCATCCAAACAGATGAATTTGAAAAAGGTTTCCAAGAATGGAATCACAGACTTGAAAATTGAATTAAGTATAATGGAGAGTACTTTGAAGGTGATAGCGTTGTTAAGTACATAGCTTTGGGGGGAAATTCAGTTTGGGGGGTCACCCCCTCGTATATGCTATATAAATATGGAAGGGTATATGGTAGTACATGTATGTGCACATATAGTTGTGTGTGTTTGTATTTTGCACATATGTTCTGATATAACAGATAAGACAGAGGACACAGTTGTGGAAACATCTTTGAAATACCCAAACACCTTATGGAACTGAGTTGCGAGCTTGAGGGCTAAAGAGCACAGTCTCAGGGGACATCTACGTGAATTGGCATATCAGAGTTCAGAAAAGTATTCTAGTTTGATGAGTAGCATCTCGGGTCTCAAAAGCTTGCAAGAGGCATACGGGAGTGGCATGCCCTCTGAGCATTTATTAGCATCCCTGAACTTTGTAACAAGTACAGGCTGAAAAACTTCATACTGAGCATTTCTCACCTGCATTGTATGAAACCTGGTCACTTTCTTAGTAAATTCTTTAATTATAAATATTGTCTGTGAGTTCTATGTGGCCACTGCAATGAATTACCGAACACAGTAACTGAAAAAGTAGAGAATGTTGTGTGTGACAGAACAAAAGTACTTCTAGAACCTTTACAATGGAAAATAAAATAACAAACATTTAAACCTGAAGGTAAATGGAGGAAGGGTGAAGGGGGTCTCAACCACCCCATGCTGCCTTCCTAGTAGTGAGGCCTTGGGCAAATGGCTTCTCTTTCTAGGCCTGGGTGTCCTCCCCTGTGAAAGGGGAAGAATCTTCTTTGCTCCTAACAGTTCCTGTGCATGGGCACTGAGTCAGTGCTCAGTTTAGGTTATGAACCCTTATAAGCAACAGCCTCCACCAACCAGTCACCGACAAACTGAGGCTCACTTTCTCACTCACTGCTTCCTCTCTCAAGTGAGAATGCCAACCCACCTTGACTTATTCTGCTCCTGCCCAGGTGACCTGACTTTCTCTCTCTCCCTTCTTTCTAGAGATAGGAAGGTGTTTCACCCCTGTGACTCCCAAGCTTAGTAAGAGGAAGAGTGGCTGGGACTTGAGGTCTTACCACCAAGAGTCACTCTTCACAGCCAACGTAAAGCTGTGGCCAGGTTTTTCAGGTGAATTACGAGGCGCATCTGACATGCCCCTTAAATCAGTCAAGGACCGGCAGTTGCCCTAACAGTATTTACTATGTCTGGAATTTAGGTACAATGCCTCATGTGCAGAACCCACTCCCACCAATCTCCACCTTTCCCCGCCTCCCTTCCTCAGGGTTTAACAGCTGCTCCAAACATGGGAAGAGCTAGTACAAGCGCAGGTGCTGGCCCTAGGACACTGCTCTAGAAGCAGAGGTGGCAATAGGAAGAACTCAGGCCACACACAAAGTCTTCACTTTCTGGAATCCTGGTCAGTGCCCTGTCTTGTACTTCAAACCAAAAGACAATAAAGAATAAATAAAGCAGGCTTCCATGGGGGTGGAGGGGAGGGAATTCTATATTAACCTTTCAGATGCCTCGGTTGTCTTTTGCAGGGGGAGAGTGGCATCAGTTAGAGGAAACCTACCAGGATGGGTGGTGTGGGGAGGCAAGAGCTGCAGGCTTGCTATCAATCTATGTAGGATTTGCTCTTACTGGGTTTCAAGGGCCTATTGGACTCTGGGTCTTCACATATGGCTCAAGTCTGTGGCAAGATGAGGAGGAATACTTACAATCAGTGTCCCACAGGACAGAGCCCCTAGATCAAGCTGGGAACTCCTGCCAAGGAGGAAGGGAGAAGCTCTGGCAGGCTAGACCACAGGCTGAGCATTTACACAATACGATAATTCCTGCCTGACTTTCAGACCTCCCATACTCCACGGCGCTGCCCAGGGAGGTCAATGCCCAAGCCTCTACCCTAATGCCATGCTGAGTTCTCATTTTGTATGGGATTAATTTCCCAGTTGATCTCAAACATAAACATGGTACCAATTAAAGGATGTCTTATGTTTTCAGGATCTGAAAGTAAATGAGTGCCTTTTTCAAGCTTCCATTTACACGTTTCTTGACATGTGAGACCCTGGACAGCGTACAGTTCATGGATGCCTCCCAAGAGCCCCTTTGTCTAGGGTTGTATCATCCTCCAGTTCCTGAGAGAGGTGGCTGATAAGGGCTCTCAGATGCTACCCTTTCTCTGGAGAACTGCCTTTGACTGTTTGGGAGCCCCCAGGCCCATGCAGTCCCCACTCTGGGTAGCCCACAGTCGACACCTGACAGATATAATGGTAGGAAGGCCACCTCCCTTATCCCAAAGGGATAAATTCTCTGGGAGACACTCATCCCCCAGAGCCCATAGGAAAAGCTAAGGCCACATCCTTGCTTAGCACCTTTTCCTACCCCATCTTGCTTTCCTACCCACCTTTCTCCTGAGAGCTTTCCTCCAATAAATCCCTGTCCTCCACTCTGCTTCTAGGGAACTTGGCCCAAAACACTCCCATTGTATAACAAGAGGCTAACTTGTAACATCAACCAAACCTACATTATATGATCTGACTGTGTAAAAAATGAAGAAACCACCTACAATAGTGGAGGTGTTGGAGGAAGAAATGAAAGGTTAATGTAAAAGAACTGGACATACCTCACATCCATAGACTGAACTTCTTCAGTGGAATCATACAGACTGCTTGATTTCCCATCAAGGGTATCTAAATGAATAAGTCCTGGAACTGGTTTAAGCCCATTAGCGAAAACGTCCCGAGGAAAAGTTTCTGGGGCAGCTCGCCCTACACCATTCACTTCCTGGCAGGCATTCAATCCATTGATTTCTAGTTGAGAACACAAAGTCATCATGTGACTTATTTAAGGTTCCAAACAAACAAAAATGACAGATATTCATAAAAGTAATCCTTTGCTTCACATTTTTTACTAAAAAGTCCAGAAATAATTCCACATAATCCCCTACACAAGGAGCCCTGATGTCAAACCCAGAAACCACTCTGAGGATGGAAGATAAGGCTGTACAGATTTACGGTCTTAGAAACCCTAAGGAGCAGAGCTACTCTTCTTATAGGATGACTATGAGTTGGAACCACCTTGCTGGCAGTGGGTTAGAATGGGTTTGGAATCCCCTACACACAGAGGGGAGAAGACAAATGACATTACCAGTGTCTGTGCAGGGCTGGTGACACACTCAAGGAGTTTCATGTCATACATAGCCCAGCTTCCTGGGATCTGGGTAGCATTGTCTTGAGCCACAAGAAAAAGGAAAAATGTGAAGAGAGACTCTGAGCTGGTGATGTCTTTTCTGACTTTGACTGCTATGGAAGATGCAACCCTAAGATGTTTTAATAAAAGGTTTAATAGAATATTCCAGAAGAGGAGACAGGAAAAGCCTCCATAGAAGAGCAAACCTGCTCCACAAGTAAGCTCCTTGAAAAGCATCATAAGGCACACAGCTGGATTCTTGTGCTGGAGAAACTGACAAGCCTGAAGCCTACGGTACTCAAAATGAATGGGACATACCCAATGCTGCTGACAGGCCCCCTCAGGGGCAGGGGACTGGACTGCCCATGCCCTTTCTAGTAACTCTTAAAACCACAGGCAGGTCCCTCTGCAGGAAGCCTGAAGTGAGCTCTCCCTTGCCGAAAGGGCGCACCAGACAACCAGACCTCCACTCACCAATTTTGTTGGGGACAACTGGTTTTGCCTTATTTTCCACACACACAACAGGTGGACTCCCCACTTTAGGCTCGTCTTTCTGAAAACAAATACAGGGGGGAAGAAAAGAGAGAAGTCTGACTGTATAGCAAGAGAGTTTTTTTTTCAAACCATTTTATTAAGGTATGATCCAGATATCATATCATTCAATAGTTCAGCTATATCACACAGTATTATGCACTCGCTACCACAATCAGTTTCAAAACATTTTCTTCCTTCTTGCACTCCTTGTTATCAGCTTCTCATTACCACTCAAACCCCCACCTCCCCTGCAAATACTCAATCTAGTTATTATCTCAATAGATTCACCCACCCTGGGTTTCATATACCGAAAAACATAGAAAAACACATAATAATCAAGAAGGCTATAAAATACAACAGAAATAAATTCCAGTTTGAAGAGAAAAAAACTCCAAATACAGAAGGTATTGGAATCTTGCTGGGTCATTTACATGTTCATTCTGTGAAGTTTCTAAGCTTATTACAAATTAGGTATGTTTCTCTTATTATTATATCACCATCCTTTTTTTTCATTCATGGGCTATCATGCTTTTGAGAAGCTTAGATGGTCCAACAGATGATTATGCAATTGGTTACTAACCAAAAGGTTGTTGGTTCAAACTTCCCAAGTGATTTCATGGGAGAAAGTCCTGACAAGCTGCTCTTAGAAAGATTCCAACCTAGAAAACCGTGTGGGGCAGTTCTACTTTGAGTTACGGTGTCACTGTGATAAGAAATCAACTCACTGGCACCTAATAACCACAATATTGTGCCATTCCCAGCAGCTCATCACCCCAGTTCATGGAAGAAATATTTTAGCTATAAAAAGTTACCACCACTCTATTTCTTTTAAGGCACCTAAAAAAACCGATTTTCATTGAACAGATTCTGACGGAAGGTAGATCATGTGTGTCATAGAAAGAAGTATGCTCTGTTGGGTTTTCAATGGCTGAAATTTTGGGAAGCACATCGCCAGGACTTTCTTCTGAGGTTTACTTGGGTGGACTTGAACCTTCAGACTGTTGATTAGCAGTTGAGTGAATTAACCCTTTGCACCATCCAAGGACTCCTTGAGGGACCTATACCTTCCTCAGTCTAGCCAGGGAAAGAGTAGAAAGAATCATTTTTGTCCAGTTAATCCTCTCTAATACCTATTCTTTCTTAGAATGTATTCTCCCATTCTTTATCCCTAGTACATGAACTATTAAAAGGGTACCCTGAATTTCCCACCTTCACTTCTACCTTCACTTCTGGAGACACATCACTCTTCCTTGTTCTCTTCATGATTTCATCTATTCTCTAAAACCCAAGAAGAATAAAATAGGAATCAATAAGATTCAAACCATACAAAAGTAATAGTCTATAAGCAGTTGCATATTTCTCAGAAAACTGGTACAAGATCAATGTCAGTACAAGATCATCAGTATAAAAAGGGTTTCCACATGGCACACTTCCTACTCTGTGAACAAGATCAAATGCTCGACAAGTTGATCAGTATGTATATAGAACTATATCCTGTCTCTTTCCTTAGGTTACCTCTAATTCACGAGATCACCATGTGGGACTCAAGAGGACTGCATTACAGAAAGTGGGAGTGAAAAGGGTCAGGAGAAAAGACCCAGAATGATCTCCCAGCTCCTAAGCCTATAAAAATACAAAAGCCCAGGCTGGTCCTAGGGCACCCTTATATGGACCTTTAAAGTCAGCCTCCAGAACCCAACTCTATCCATGATTATATTAAATACAAATGGAATAAGCACTCTAATTTAAATACAAAGACTACTAAACTGGATGTTTAAAAAAAGAGGACTATATGCTGTTTACAAAAGGCACGCTCATAAGGACACAGATAGGTTAAAAGTAAAAGAATGAGAAAATATTTACCATTGAAATAAAGCTGATAAAGTGGACTTTAAAACAATATTACCAGAGCTATAGAACAGTTCATAATGATAAAGTCAATTCACCATGAAAATATAACATCTGAAATATATATTCACCAAACAGGTTTTCAAACATGTAAAGTAAAAATGGACAGAAAAGGAGAATTAGACAAAGTTATAAAGGTGTAGCTTTTTATACTCCTTTGTCAGCAGTAGCATAAAATGACATAATAAAGACGTACAAGATTTGAACAATACTAACAATAAAAAATTTAATTGACAGCAGTAAGTACACTTTATCAACAACTACAAAATAGAACTGGAGGAGCCAAACCCAATCCAGGGATACATACGGCAGCCAACCAAATAGGAGGGGGAAAGAAAGGGGAAAAATGAAGACATGGGTAGGAGGTGAGCAGGACACTAACCCACCCAAGGGGAGGGTATTTTTTCTATCTCCACAGGAGAGGGAGAGAGAGACCAGGCTTCAACCTGATGCACCAAGACGGGAATACCAGCATGTACCAGGGAACCAATAGAGAGGTCTGCAGGGCCGGCCCCAATACCAACTATGTGGACACCCCCCCACCCAAGAAGAGTGTATTTCAGAGGATAACACTGAAGCTACAGCTTGGGGAGAGGGGCACATCTGATTAGAGCACACAGGAGAAACAAAGAGGGAAGGAGAGAGAAAAGTAACACATCCTGGCCCACCAAGCCCCAAGGACGATATTCCTGCTCAGAGCTGACAATGTACAGAGAGGACCATAGGGCTGGCCCCAGTAGGAGAAACGATGTCCCTCGCTGAACTATAGCACTATGGGGGACAACACTGGAGACACAGTGCAGGAATTGTGCCCAATTTGACCCCATCACACTGGGGTGAAACACTAAGGGTATGCAACACGGCAGCAAGGGGAACAAAATGATGAAATCCCCAGGGAATACCAAAAGTAGACTTTGGAGACAGGGTGTGGCACCCCATCAGACTCGACTGGAAAACATAAAGACCAACAAACAGACCTTGAACTATTTATAAGCTTTTCCTTTTTTGTCTGTGGCTTTCTTTTTGTTGTTGTTATTGGGTTTTTTTTAAATCATTTTATTGGGGGCTCGTACAACTCTTATCACATCAATTGAATCAGGCATGTTTGTAACATATGATGCCCTCATTCTCTTCTAGACATTTACTTTCCATTGAGCCCTCGGTACCAGCTCTTTTTTTCCCTCCTTCCCCTACCCTCATAAACCCCTGGTTATTTTGCTTGGCACTGCCTGGTTTTTGCATTTATTAATGTCTTTGCATGTTTATCAGGATAAACAATTTGAAGATGAAAAGAACCGGATCAATGGTTCCAGGGGGATATGGGAGAAAAGGAGGTGGGAAAAAGGAAGTGGGGGGAACAACCCAGGGACAAAAGAACAACAAGTGAACTAAAATCAATAGAGAGAAGGGCATAGGATGCCTAGTGGGGCTGAATCAAGGGCAATGCAGCAGCGAAGAATTACTAAATCCAAATGAAGGCAGAACATGATGGTGAGACAAGAGGAAAGTAAAAGGAAATAGAGGAAAGAACCAGGAGCCAAAGGACATTTATAAAGGTCTAAATACAGGCATCTACATATGGAAACATATTTATATATAATGAAAGGGGAATAGATCTTGAAAGGGGAATATATCTATGTACTTATATCTATATGTTAAAAATTAAGGTTGAAGATGGACATTGGGCCTCTACTCAAGTACTCCCTCAATGAAAGAACACTTTGTTCTAGTAATCTAGCATTCTGTGACGCCCACCTTCCCAACACGATCGCTGAAGACAAAATGGGTGCATAAGCAAATGTGGTGAAGAAAGCTGATGGTGCCTGGCTATCAAAAGGTATAGTGTCTGGAGTCTTAAAGCCTTGAAGATAAACAAGCGGCCATCTAGCTGAAAAGCACCCAATCCCACATGGAAGAAGCACACCAGCCTGTGTGATCATGAGGTATTGATAGGATCAGGTATCAGGCATCTAAGACCCAAAACAAAATCATACGCAATGTGAATTGGTGTGTGTGGGGGGCGTGGAGTGGAGACCCAAAGCCCATCTGTAGACAATTGGACATCCCCTCACAGAAGGGTCACAAGGAAGAGATGAGCCAGTTAGGGTGCAGTATAGCACAAATGAAACACACAACTTTCCTTCAGAACATGCACAGTGCTACAGATAGGAGCAGCAGCAACACAAGGAATCCAGGATAGATAAACCCCTCAGGGCCAACAATGAGAACAGAGATACCAGGAGAATTAGGGGAAGATGGGGGGAGAAACTGGGATTTGATCACAAGAATTAACATATAACCCCCTCCCAGGGGGATAAACAACAGAAAAGTTGGTGAAGGGCAATAGAGGATGATGTAAGATATGAAAATAATAATCAATAACTTATCAAGGGTTCATGAGGGAGGGAGGGCGGGGAAGCGAGGGGGGAAAATGAGGAGCTGATATCATGGACTCAAGTAGAAATAAAATGCTTTGAAAATGATGATGGCAGCATATGTGCAAATGTACTTGGCACAATGGATTGTGATAAGAGATGTAAGAACCCTCAATAAAAGTATTTAATTAAAAAAATAGAACTGGAGTCCTAATTTGTTCCTCCCAAAGTCCTCCAGATCCCTGAACCCTTCAAAAAATGGTTTTACTGAGACACAGCATACAATTCAATAGTTCGGTCATATTAAGAAGGATTATATATTCATCATAACAATCAACTTTGGAACATTTTCTTCCTTCTTGTACCCTTTGCTATTGACTCTCTATTTCCCCCCACCCTCCTCCTCCATGCTCCTAGGTGATTATTAATCCTATTGCTGTCTTCATAGACCACTCATCCTGCTCAGCTCTCACCTTCTTCCTTTCCAGTCGCTCCTGCTCAATCTGCAGCATGATCTGTTCTCTTTCTAGACGCATTTGCTTAGCAGCTTCTTGGGCCTTTGCTTCTGCTGCTTCTTTCTAACAGAAACAGACAAATGAAGGCATCAGCTTTATTTAACTCAGAAAACATTGTTCAACTCATCGCCTTCCCCAAAGCGGGGTACTATTCCAATATTCAATGTAGAGTTACACAAGCTTCTCAATAATGGTGTAGTAAGTTGTGCGTTAGGCTGTTAACCGTAAGGTCAATGGTTCAAACCCACCAGCCACCACTCAAGAGAAAGGTGAAGCTTTCTGCTTCCATAAAGATTTACAGCCTCAGAAACCCACAGGGGCAGTTCTACACAGGGTCAGAACTGACTCGATAGGAGTGAGTTTGGTTTTTTAGTTTTCTCAATATTGAAACAGACCAGTTGATGCTTATCCAATATATTCTTTAAAAAAATAGTTGGCATATACTTCATGTATCATAATCATTGAATTATACTAAAAAGAGTTGTGCAATCATCACCAAAATCAATTTCAGTACATTTTTTCTTGTTCTCATTGTTTCTTTGCTCCCTGTTCCATCCCGCCCCCAATTATCCCCTACCATGCTCCTAGGTAATTATTAATCTAGTTACTGTCTCTATAGATTTACCTTTCCTAGATTTAATATACAGAAAATCATACAAAACACAAACAGGAAGCAACAAACAAACAAAAAACAGCAAAAAAAATGACTAGACAAAATATAGAAAAATCTCAATCAAAAGGAAAGCAGAAATATTAAAATGTGAAACAATTTTAAAATAGGTAAAAAAGGAGATCAAATGATAATGTATTACATTTCAACCTAACTGCATCTGCCACAATCGACTTTACAATGCTTTCTATCTGACAGCAAGGCTATTTCATCCCTGGACTATATTCAGAGGGGATACACTGGAGGCTTAATCCATGTGGAGACCCTCCAAGTGGATTTTGGGCTTCCACTGTCATCCATACCTTTCTGTAAACCTGGTATTCACAATTTAAACTTTGACATAATTTCCTATTCAATATATATTTGTTTCATAGTACAAGTTACCTACAGATAGCAACCAAGGTCTTCCTAATCTGAAGCCAGTCTCTGGCCTTGGAATGTGCATGTGGTGGAACATTTCAGGAAGTTAACTACCCCAGGAGTGACCCTCCACAATGAGGAGCTGGTACTGGTGAATAAATACCCCAATTTCCTCATCCTTCAGAAGGTCGATTCTAAGGCATGTTCCAGTTGTTCTGAGGCTCTACAGTGGCACGCAGTAACCCGTGCATCAGTGTATTGACTTTCCTCTCACTTTCAACCAGCTGTCTGGGATTCCCTTCCAATAGGCAATTTATAACCAAGTTCTGCCCCAGAGTCTGTCTTTGGGGACACCAAAGCTAATGCAAAGCAAACATTACCACCTTCACTTCTGTTCCCTAAAGTAACTTGTATTTCCTAACCAGCCTGTACTGCTTTTAAAAGTTTCAATATTATGAGTCATTCAAATTTACATAAATTTACCTGATATTAATTAGCCCTTAAAACACAAGGAAGGTCTGTCTACAGACTCATACTGCACCTGCTTCTCAATCATGACTTTTTCTTGCTTCTCTCTCTCTTGCTTTTCCTTTTCTTGATTTTCTTTCAATAACAGCTCCTCCTCAGCCTTCTTCCTCGTTGCCTCTTCTGCCTTTCTTTTCTCTTCCTCAGCCTGCCGTTTCCTTTCTTCTTCACGTTTACGGGCTGCTTCTTCTAGACGAAGCCTTTCTTCTTCTGCCTTTCTTTCCAGTTCCTCTTTCTCCAGCCTTTGGAGGACATGATTGTTGTTAGAAGACATGCTCAAAAGGCAAACTACCAAAGAGCTTCTGTGTGCCAATAGCATCATGTGAACAAACCCCCACACACACTGGGATGAGAGTCCACAGACTAATGCAACTTAATCTCGAGTTTGTGTATTTACCAAAAAGAAGAAGAAAGGTTAAAAAGGGTTGGTTTTATAGTCTATTAAACAAAGATGTTCGCCCAATCAATCTACAAATGACCAAAATTAGATAGGAAGCCAATCTCGACGATCTTAAAGATAGTTATTTAAAAAAACAAAGTAGAATATTTAAAATTCAAAAGCAATGACCCTGAGCTCAAAAAATTCCCATGGGTTCTAATTGGTATGTGACTTCTGAAGCAACAAAGGTAAGAAAATGCTGAACAGAAACTTTTAATTTAATATAGAAACTAAATGAAAAAATATCCACTGTTCCATTCATTTGATGAATTTTTAACAATGTGGACGTTTCACAATGTAATGACAAAGAGCTATAAAGGAGGAAATGCTGTAATGTCTCAGGGCTTTTGAGACATTTCTAATAGTCTTCCTTTTCATGTGCATAACTCTTTCTTCTTCATCTATAGAAAGTGGAGAGTCACACTTACCTTGCAGAGTGGTACTGCCAACATGACATATGCATTCTGACTGTGCCACTTGCTGTGTAATCTTTGGAAAGTTCCTCAGCCTTTCTGATGGTAATTTTAAAAAGGAGAATAGCTATACAACTTTATTGAGCATTAAGTGAGATAATCCATTGGAAGGACTTAACCCAATGCCTGACCTGAGGACTATCTAAAATGACAGTTTGCAGTATAATTTAAAGTGACTCCTAACCTCACCCCCCACATCTTTTTAAGTGCATCTACAAATCTGTCTTGGAAGAAGGACGGCAAGAATGCTCTTCAGAAATAAGGATGGCAGGACTCTGTCTCGTGTACTTTTGGACATGTTATCAGGGGGATCCAGTCTCTGGAGAAGGACACTGCGCTTGGTGAAGTGGTCAGTGAAAAAGAAGAAACTCACCTTGCAACAATGGGATAAGCCCTAGGCAAGATTGGGAGGATGGCACAGGACCAGACAGTGTTTCATTTGATTGTACTCAGGGTCTCAGTGAGTTGTACCCAACTTTATGGTACCTAACAATAACAGAAATTTGGTTTTTCAAAAAATCACCTTTTTATATGTATGGAAACGTGTCACTGACTTGCTGGGGTGCTGTTATATTGTTCTAAAAAGGTCAAGGCTTAAAAGGAGACCCTTCCATCCTAATTGTGAAGGTTAATAGCTATGAAATATTTTATCAAGGGCTCATGAGGGAGGGGGGAGGGGGGAGGAGGACCTAATGCTGGGGGCTTAAGTGGAGAGGAAATGTTTTGAGAATGATGAGGGAAATGAATGTACAAATGCGCTTTACACAACTGACGTATGCATGGATTGTAATAAGAGTTGTATGAGCCCCAGATAAAATGATTAAATTTAAAAAAAGAAATATTTTAAAAGAAAAAACTACCAAAAATTGTTAACACCAGAGAGTCCAACAGTATGTTGATCATGTCTTCTGCATTAGCAGAGGGTACAGAGGGTACAGTGCTGGAAAGCAATGCTGAAATTGCTTTAAAATGTTCTGGAGATCATGATAGTGGAGGGGGGAAGGAAGCTTTTAGGAACTAGAGGAAAGTTGTATGCTTCATCGTTGCTATACTGCACCCTGACTGGCTCGTCTCCTCCCCGAGACCCTTCTGTAAGGGGATGTCCAGTTGCCCACAGATGGCCTTTGGGTCTCTACTCTACACTCCCCCTCATTCACAATGATATGATTTTTTGTTCTTTGATGTCTGATACCTGATCCCATTAACACTTCGTGATCACACAGGCTGGTGTGCTTCTTCCATGTGGGCTTCGTTGCTTCTCAGCTAGACCAATTCTACCTTACAAATCTGGCTAGACCAGAGGATGTACACTGCTACAGATAAGAACTGGAAACACAGGGAATCCAGGACAGATAAACCCCTCAGGACCAATAATGAGAGTGGCGATACCAGGACGGTAAGGGGAAGGTGGGGTAGAAAGGGGGAACTGATCACAAGGATCTACATATAACCCTCTCCCTGGGGGACGGATAACAGAGAAGTGGGTGAAGGGAGACATCAGACAGTGTAAGACATGACTAAATAATAATAATTTATAAATTATGAATGGTTCGTGAGGGAGGGGGCATGGAGAGGGAGGGGAAAAATAAGGAGCCGATACCAAGGGCTCAAGTAGAAAGAAAATGTTTTGAGAATGATGAGGGAAACAAATGTACAAATGTGCCTGACACATGAATCTATGTATGGATCGTGATAAGAGTTGTACGAGGCCCCAATAAAATGATTTAAAAAAGAAAAAAAATGTTCTGGAGAAAAGAATGTTTGGAAAGTGATGGTGGTAGCAAATTTACAATTCTGCTTGATGTCATTGAACTATGGAATGATTTATGTATTAATCCCAATTTAATAAAAAATTAATAAAAATAAAATGTTCTGAAGAGCACTATGGGCTCTAATCAGAAGAAAAATTCCAACTCTTTTAAATTCCTCCATGGAAAAACATCCACCCCAGGATGATCAAAAGTGGACATGTTGGTAACAAGATTTAAACAAAAGTTAGTAAGACAGAACAATTTCATTTCTTACCCACTTTTACAGGGAGCAAGTTTTGATTATGTCTTTAATACAAAAAGGTAATATTGTATATTAATGAACACATGAACTAATTCATAAAGGATATTTTCAGGATCTAAAACTCACTCCATTCCTTCTGGTTCTCTGGAGGGTCCAGATGCAGATGTAGTGAAACATCCCCATGGGCCCCAAATCTCCACGATCCTCAATTATCACCCCAAACACAAATTATTGCCCCAAAGGCCTCTGGTGCTTCCATGGAAATCCTATTGTCTTATGAGCAAAATTTCCTCCAGTAACCTCGCTTCATTTCCGCCATATAAGGTAACACCCCATTCACTGAGTGAAACCTCAGGCCTCTCAAAATCCTGAGGATGAACATCTATTTTCTGTTTGCTTAAGGGACCAAAAGTACATGAATTTCCCCCATCATTACTGATTTCCTGCAAACTTGACCACATCTACAGGCAGTTCTGTTACTCCACCTAGCCCATTCTCCCTCCCTCACCAACTCAGTGGAAAATATTAGAAAACTGAATATCATCATCATCCTTTGGCATTTTACCTCTGTCCAGTCTCCAGTCCCTTTCACACCTTGCCTCACCTTACTGCTGTGTACATACTTTCCACAAGCAAGTGGACAAGACATGGGTTTCATTACACTGTTCACTTCTTGTGTGCTTAAAAGTTTTCACTAACATGAAAGGTTAGCCTTCAACTCTTGAGTTTCACATTTGATTTGATCTCACCCCATCATTCATCTTTCTGGCACCTGATTACTGATCTGGCCCTGATTAGTACTGCCCAGGCAACTTGTGTCTGCTTCCCTGTTCTCTTGGTGCCTCTGGGCCCTCAAGTCCCCTCCTGAATGTTTACACAATGGCATGGAGACCACTCTGCTGCCCAACTACAGGTGTAGGTGACCTCAGGCCCACTCAGACCCCTCCAGGCTGCCAGTAACTGGTTAGAAGTGAGGCCCACGCTTGACTGCCACACTCCCTCCATTTATCCTCTTCCCCTGGGTATCTATGGGGCATCCACCCCCTCCATCCTCTCTTGATCTTCAGAACCCTTCTTCAAGCAGGTTAGAGAGAAGATGGGGACACTTACCTAGGCCTTCTCTTTTCTCTGGCAATACTACTTAAATGCAAAGTACTGCAAACTGCTCCGCTTGTGCTATTAACTCCATGTCCTATTGTCCTCTCCAGTTCCATATCCCTTCTACTGTTCCCTTTCATTGCCAGAGACTTCCTTCTGCACACCCCTTTCCCATTGCCTGCAAAAGTACATGGGGCTCGGGCATTCCACACTTTCCTGGGCCCTCTCTGCCTTACCTCTCCCATACAGACCTCTTAAGGTTCTCTCCCTAACCTCTTGCAGTCTGGTCTATGTCCCCACCACTCTTTTGAAACATGCATCTCCAAAATCTCTGTTCATCTCCTCAATACTAAGACAGATAGCCTGTTCTTGCCTCTCAACACATCTTGGCATTCAATATCCCTGCCTTGAGAAAATGCTGCATTGCTCTGGTTCCCTCCCCTTCAACTGTCCTCTGCCTGCCCTAGTATCACCAAACAGCTTGCCACCTGGAGGCTCAGCCCTCAACCAGCTGGTCTAAGGGTCCTGAAGCTCTGCTTGCTGCTGAGTCTGGTGCAAACACACCCTTTCTGGCTGGACACCAAGCCTTAGCCTGGCTGCACACAGTGTTTGGGGTTACTGCCTGACTTGAATGTCTTTCTACGTGTGCCTCTGTGCCTTCTTTTTTTAAAAATGTTTTTATTTTGAGTTAGGTAGGAGGTTTACCATCCCCTCTATGCCTTCTTAATGTATCTTCAATGTGAACCATAATTTCTGCCTCCCGGCATGATTTCCTACTAACTTGTTACTGCCTGTGCCTCCCTCAGAGGTAGGCCCAAGTTCTAGGATTTCTTGCCCTGGGTTCATAAGGCTCTCAATTTCACCTGGGACCATTCACTGGCCCAGTGTTCTGTGCTTCCAAGAGTATCCCAGTGTCATTATTGGCTGAGATTGGGCCAACTTTCGTTTTCTTCCTAGGGCCCATGTGTCCAGGCTCTCAGCCCTTCTGCTCTGGGTAATCCCATCACCCCTGACTTAGATGACATTTCCCTCACCAGTTTACAATAAAAATTGAGTTTTCCATAGTTTGGGGTCAAGTGGTTTTATTATTCTCAAATTTGGCAACTACATTTTTGTAGCTTTAACTATTAACTCTGAACATAAAACAGACTTGAGGATGTCCACTGTTTGGAACCTCCCTTTCTCACCTCCCATGTAGAGGTAGGCAATGCTTCACATT